AAGTTCATGCTTATGACAGAATCCCTCTCCTGGTTCCTTGAGCTCCCCTTCTCTTGGTTTGCTCTGCATTGCTTCCCCAGCTTTGTGGTGGTGTTAAATTACGGTATGGTGTGAACCTCCAGTCAAAACAATCAAGTCCTCCTTTTTTATGGGACGTGTTTAGGATAGTGGTCGTGCGATGTGGTATCGCGACCGCGTCCTCCTTCTGCGGCATGGAAAACGCAAGTGCTAATTCAGTCTCGTATTTTCTGTGTCTCGCATGGTGAAAAGAATTAAGCTCTGGCGGTCTGGCCCAAGATTGGTTGTAGAACGATTTTGATTTAATTTTGAACTTGTATTGAATGTTGTATGTCTTCTTATAACGTTTTTTTACATCACACATAGGGTTTGGTTTGGCACGCACTCTAGCTTTGACGTCCATGTTAGATAATTAGTTTGTAAATTAAACTGAACATTTAAATATTTACATCGATCTAAAACCATACATCTCTCGTCTAAATTGGAGCTTTTTTATATGTCAGATCCAATTCATAATGCTCTTACTTGTTACCGTACTTGTCTCTCTGTTCGAAGATGTCTTGCCACCCCCTATACAGTGCATTCAAAATAGTACGTCTCGTGTACAGTACGTACGTGCTCATCTACTGTATAGATCATCGTGCTGTTCGGTTTGGTTTTATAAGTCGTATTTTTTCAATTAATGAATAATATTTTCTCTCTCACGTCAAATCAGTCAACACTACTTTCAACAATAACTTATCAGCCAAACAAGTTCAAACGAATAGGGCACATGTGCATGCATGGGAAAAGACGAGGAGGTACCGTACCTCTCGGGCATTGCTCTGTGCCGTGACCTCGTGGGGACTACGTACGTACGACGGCGTGGCTGGACGTGCTGTCGTCGCACCTCGTCGCAACTTGCTACACGCAGGATCCATGCGAGGAGAGTACTGTGACGTGCACACGCGTGCAGTGCAAAAAAGAAAGAACATGCCACGCACTACTTTGCCACAGACATGGGGTAACGGTGATCCATGTCGTCCCGTAGCGCAGATTACAAAACGACAGAGAAATTAAAGGGGTTAGCAACCTAGATCAACCAAAGCAATAGTAGAAAGAAACCGCGGTAAGAAAGGGACCCTCCGCTCAAAACCTAACTGACTGGACATATGAAAGGAAGAATATATATATATATATATATATATATATATATATATATATATATATATATATATATATACACACACACATCAGCACACAGTGGCAAAGCCAGAGGAAATTGCTACGTATGGTGTATATATGGTGAAAATTTGACCACTATAACTGATTTTTGAATTTTTCTTTTTTTTTGGCGGGGTGGGGGGGGTGCATGTGCACCCCCTAGTCATACTACATGTTCTCCCCTGCATCAATGCTAAGGTTGCCAGCAAGGGAGATGAAGCCGCGGTGAGAAAACATGCACTGAGAAGAGACAAAGTCGAATATCCAGTAGTACAGTGGCAAAGCAACCGCCAAGAAAGAAGATGAGCACGGACGAGCTCCCAATGACGAGGAGCACAAAAGACGTGGCAAAGTATTCGCAAAGTGAGATCATCTTCGTTGCTCTTGGCAAATGCACACAATGGAATTTTTCATTTTTGCGACCTATCTGGTGTCTGCCGATCTTCAACTCTTTGTCATTCGGTTATTTTAACTCTCCTCCTCGTTTGAACAAGAGTGTGGCCAAGGCCAAGCATTATTTATATTCCATCAGTGAATCCTCGTTCACCATATAGGCTCGTTTCCGAGAGAGGAGTTGATTCTTTGATTCTCTCGAGAAATAAGTCCCCCCCCCCTTCACACACACACACACCCCTAAAATATTGCCAGAATCCAAAAACATTTTTGGTTCTAATATTGAATTAATATTAAAAAATTATATGGTAAAGGTTTATATGTTTTCTTCCTCTGGGAACAGTTTTGGTTTGGTATATATAGGGATCTTCGTTGTAAAAGGGGCGGATAGGAGCTATGTACAAATCAGGAGCATGTAAGTGTGTGCACCAACGACATCAAAACATAAAAATAGTGGTTGTGATCAAAATTTCTCTATTTATGTATCTTATGATTAAAATTTATGTGTTCATCAATACAAACATACTCCTCTCGAATTTGCTCTTACTTCTCTCCTGATTTCATGTTCCTACTATGTCATCGTCCATCGTGCAAAAGACTATCAAAGCATCAATGCAACAACTCATTGCAAACAGCTGTCCAACCTTTCCCCCGAGTGGCCATTATTTATAAAATATAAAATTTTGATTTGGCTAAATGATTCGGCCTGGCACAAGCTGGATTCATTTTTTAATATATTTTATCTTTTTTTGAGGAAATTTTATATTTTATCTGAGAAAGACTCAGGGACTAGCTGTACAGAGGATGACACACCTGGAATGGGCCAATGGGAGTGCAGGCCCAAAGCCGATCCGGATCCAGCGAAGAACCAACCAGTTTGTCCTGGACCGAACTCCGAACGGGCGCGCACGTACTGGCTGCCTGCCTGCCGCGTGGGCTGGGCCCCCACGTTGGGTGATCGGACGACTTGAAGCCCCTCCGCGTCAGATATCGTGCGGTCCAGCTCGGCCGAGCATCTCCAGCGCATTCCAGCCTCAAGAAGTCAGGATCTTCGGCCCTTTTCTTCCTTTTTTTCCTTCAAAAAATGCATGGTTTATTTTTTCTGTTTCCCTTTTCTTTTGGCTGTGGGACCACTAGTTCTTGTGCCTGCTGTGGAATGAATTATTTCTCACACCATATAAATATATAAATGTGCCTCCTCCCATGTCCACGTTTTCTAGTTCTAGCACATGACAACTGGAGTTCGGGAGATGCATAACTGTCCATGAGATTTCCTTTTCATTATTTTTCGTTTACTGCAAGCTATTTCAGTTGGCACTGGCCAGGACGGGTCTTGATGATTCTAGAGACGTTGGATAACCATCAATTGTCCTCCACGTCTTCAAGGAAAAAAAAACTGGCCTGCAAAATTCAAAGTATTTTTGAAGTATTAAAAGAAATATTATAGTTTTACAAAATACTTTAGTTTTAAAAGTTATCGGGTGTTTTGATGCTATAAATCTTGTAGTCTTTAAAACCATAGTTTTGTCAAAACTGTAGTCTTTTGGAGTTTTAGAAACTCCACTGATGACCTCTTTTTTTTTTAAACCACACGGTTTTATCTCTCTTTGACTTATAAAACCACAGTTTTGTGGTACTACAGTTTTTGAAAACCGCATCATTCAAGCATGCCCTAAACCGCATTGAAAAATATAATATGGGTTCCTAAAAAAGGAACACGAGTGATGATATTTATAGTATTTTTTTAACAATTTTAACAAAGTAGTACCTTACTTATAAACTTTGCTAAAAATGATGACTCCGTGTCATTCAGAATTTGTACCACTATTTTCCATAAAATAAAAGCAAAACCTTTTTCTTATCCCCTAATGGTATTGAAACGATAGAAGTTCACTAAAAAAGGTAAAAAAAAAGGAATGATGGATGAAGTCTGTTAGCTTTACTCCCCTACAGCACCTAACCCTAATTGTGGTTAGGCGACAAGTTTAAATGAAACAAAATGAACTAGAAATCAGCTAAGCAAGGTTAGATCTTGCAGACGAAACAACCGCGGTCTTTCACCAGCAAAACAAAACAAGAACACAACTAAACAAAGGTGCAATCAAGCAAGCATCTACCACATCGTTTTTGGCAGCAAAATGAATGTGAAAACAACTAAACATGATGGTGTCTTGCACACAAACACATCTGCCACACTCTTTTGATAGCAAAATGAATTAGACAGCAACGAAACCAGGCGTGGTAGCCAAATTTACGGTCACGGAGCAAACTTTGGATAACGCGAACGCAAACGTCCACGGGAATAGATGGCGCTCGGACCAATAAACATGCGAGCGCTTATGTTTTTTGTTTAGTTCGCCACGCGATAAACCATGCAAATATGCAATCGTTTACCATTAAATCGGGCGTAATCGATTTATTGAAACTCGAGATCAGTTGCAATGCTATCGGATCCTGTCATAGATGGAACAATTGAAAAGTAACGCTATCAAATTACGGTGCGATCAAATCACTCTGAAAAATGCACCAAATAAACAAACATCTCAGTGAGTGTGGCACGACATTGAAAATCAGATCAACACAACTGAAAAATAGTTACACGTGCACTTAAAAAAATCTCTACACCTCAGATAGAGATAAAAAAAAAAGATACTAGATACTATGAGAACATTATCATGGTTGACGACGATCCTTGCTCGAGATACAGGCTGAATATTTGAAACCAGTTTGGAGGGAGGGGGAAAAAATGTACGCCTCGTGTCTGGAACCGTATCCCCGTGGGGTCACGGGCCACGCATCCCTTCCCTTCCCCCGGCTCCCTCCTATAAAACTCCACCACCCCAGTCCTGGGTGGCGAGCACGCCGCCATCCAAGGTCCAGCCGACCTGCCTTACACCGCCGCGACCCCGCCGCCCTTTGCCGGCGGCCCCGTCCCGCGGATCGGTTGGCGCCTCTCCTTGCTGCTGGTAAGGAAGCCCTGCCTTCCTCTGTTTGTTTTTTTCCTTTCGTGCCGTTCAGCGGCGGATCTCACCCTTTGCCGTGGGTGAGCGCTCGAACCCGACCAAATCCTTGTTGCTGGTACGCGCGCTCCGATCCGTCTAGTTCGTCGCGGATTCATTCGCTCCTCGGGTGGAGGTTGTAGCTGGGAGCGGTTGATTTCCCGAACTTTGTGTTAGGATTTGTAAAAACAAAAATGTTTATGGGGAAACGAAAAGGTTTAAGTGCGACAGCAAACTGCGGCAGGATTAGGAAGAATTTCCTGCGGAATCTGCCCAGCAGGACTGCCCTTGATGCGCTGTGCTGGACACACAGATTCTGTTTTAGTGATTATTAGTAGGAGTAGCCTTCTTATGCTTGATTGAATCCGTGACAGAATCACTGACCAGATGGCTGACGGCGAGGACATCCAGCCCCTTGTCTGCGACAATGGCACCGGCATGGTCAAGGTTCGTGCTGCTCCGTCTCACCGGTTCATACAAATCTGTTGCGGGCCATTCACGGCACTGACCCTGAGAGTGTTGCTTGTGTTCTGTGCAGGCCGGTTTCGCTGGTGATGACGCCCCGAGGGCTGTCTTCCCGAGTATCGTCGGGCGTCCGCGCCACACGGGGGTGATGGTGGGGATGGGGCAGAAGGACGCCTATGTTGGCGACGAGGCCCAGTCCAAGAGGGGTATCCTCACCCTCAAGTACCCGATCGAGCACGGCATTGTCAGCAACTGGGACGACATGGAGAAGATTTGGCACCACACCTTCTACAACGAGCTCCGTGTCGCCCCCGAGGAGCACCCCGTGCTGCTCACCGAGGCGCCGCTGAACCCCAAGGCGAACAGGGAGAAGATGACCCAGATCATGTTTGAGACATTCAACGTGCCCGCCATGTATGTCGCCATCCAGGCTGTGCTTTCCCTCTATGCCAGTGGACGCACGACAGGTGATTTAACTGAACTGAATTTGTCTGTTTTCATGAATGTACATTTTGCAATGTAAGGTTCTTCCATCCTAGCTGGACTGACCTTGTTGTTCCTGCAGGTATTGTGTTGGACTCTGGTGACGGTGTGAGCCATACCGTGCCAATCTATGAAGGGTATGCGCTTCCGCACGCCATTCTTCGTCTTGACCTCGCTGGGCGCGATCTCACAGACAGCCTGATGAAGATTCTCACTGAGAGGGGTTACTCCTTCACCACGACTGCTGAACGGGAAATTGTAAGGGACATCAAGGAGAAGCTCGCCTATGTGGCACTTGACTATGAGCAGGAGCTGGAGACTGCCAATACCAGCTCCTCTGTGGAGAAGAGCTATGAGTTGCCTGATGGGCAGGTGATCACCATCGGGGCAGAGAGATTCAGATGCCCTGAGGTCCTCTTCCAGCCTTCTTTCATTGGTATGGAATCGCCTGGAATACATGAGACCACCTACAACTCTATCATGAAGTGTGATGTGGATATTAGGAAGGACCTCTATGGTAACATTGTGCTCAGTGGTGGCTCAACCATGTTCCCTGGTATTGCTGACCGCATGAGCAAGGAAATCACTGCCCTTGCACCAAGCAGTATGAAGATCAAGGTCGTGGCGCCGCCTGAGAGGAAATACAGTGTCTGGATTGGAGGGTCCATCCTTGCCTCCCTTAGCACCTTCCAACAGGTCAATACTACACTTCTCTGTTGCTCAAATACCAAGTTTTCCTATGTTGTGCTAGGCCTTTTATTTGTCAGTATACTAACAGTATGATTTGATGTTTATATTGGCAGATGTGGATCTCAAAGGGTGAGTATGATGAGTCAGGCCCAGCAATTGTTCACCGGAAGTGCTTCTAAGCCTTGGATTCATTGCCTTTCTACTTTATTGGGGCTGTTCTTTTGTCGAGTCCTTGCCATGTAAGCTACTGTGTTTGAGATTGCTGGGGTTCCATTGAGTGATATTGCTGGATTTATTGGTTGGGTCAAAACCATGTACTTTTAAGATTCTTAATATATTCAGTGGCTGCTGTAGTCAACCAGTTGCTGACTCATACATTGTGTTTTGGAGTTCGGCTGTGATGGCAAGTGTGGTGCCAGTGGTAAAGAGTATTGAACTATCTACTAGCATGTCCTGTAATAGTTTTCGGATTACTCGTTATGGTTTCTATTGTACATTCATCCTGGGATATGACATATCGGCATTGCCCAGTTAATTCATGATTTATCGCATAATCTTATGTGAGTTTCCTGAGTTGTAATGATAGCAGTGCCCTTGTTGATCCTGTCACTCCAAGAATAGACCCATTAGTGGTGTCTTGCTACATATCATTGGCTGATCAGCCAATTTGGCTATTTGCTGTTGTAATCAGTGTTGCCAGAACAGCTAATGGTTTCTGTCTGCACATTCTGCTCCTTTGGTTCATCTGGTGCCCAGAACATGGCGTGTTGGCGCCACTGATTCCTGAATGCGCATTCTGCTGGTTTGGTTCATCTGGTGGTACCGAAAACGTGGCATGTTGGTGCCAGTGTTTTTTCTAAATGCATCAAAGGCTGGAACATGTTTCTGTACTTGCAGAACATGGGGTGTTGCTTTGTGAAGAGGAGGGAGGGAGGGAGGGGCCATTGCTGGCTGTAACTTTTTCATGTGCAACCATTGATTGCTTCATGTGATGCCCTTTGGGTTTGTGATCTTTGTTCAGATCTGTAGCTGTGTAGCCTTTGATCTTTGCTTATATATGTAGGTATAGGAGTTGCCTCTCTTTTCTAGTTCATGTGAATTCTGAATTTGTGACGAGTCATTTTCAGCTCTTCTTTTCGCGTGTTTTTTTCCGACTCCTTTTCGTGGATGGTATGAGTTCAAGTGGCAGTGTGGCACTGGTTGCTGTTGTGTTTGAGATTAGTGGTGCAAGTTTGGGCGAAGTTGCGCACCACAAAGCGAGTGGGATGTATGGATATGTGTGGAATGGTTCATGCTTGAACTTTATATAAATACAGAGAGAATACGTAGCCAGCGAGTGGGATGTATGGATATGTGTGTTCATGCTTGAACTTGTATATAAAAATAGAGAGAATACGTAGCCAGTCCTTGTTCATGTGGCTTGGCTCGCCATCTTTTGTCCAATCGGCGTTGTGCGGCTGATAAAAGCGAACCGTATTTGCTTTTCTCCTCCAAATGGGAGACGTGAGGTCAGTCTGGATGGAGGTAGGGATGTCAATGGAGAATTTCTCGTTGGAGGATAGCTCCTGTTGCTGTTCCCGTCCCCAGCCCAACGAACACTCGCGGGGGCAGATTTTTTTCATCCCATCCTAGTCCCGGCGCAGGGAATTTTTCTCCATGGGGAATCCGTTTCCGTTACAAAATACAATATTTAGAGAGCAAAAACAAATTCATAGTATTAATCAATAAATTAAATAAACAACATTTCATATTACAAGAGATGTCTAATTTAGAGTTTAGTTTGCTATTTACGCCGTGTTTAGTTGGTGCCCAACTTCCAAAAAGTTGCTACAGTACCTGTCACATCGAATGTTTGCGGCCCGTGCATGGAGTATTAAATGTAGACGAAAAGAAAAACTAATTACACAGTTTGGTGGGAAATTGCGAGACGAACGTTTTAAGCATAATTAGTCAATGTTTGGACACTATTTGCCAAATAAAAACGAAGGTGCTACAGTAGCCCCAAAATCCAAATTTTGCGAACTAAACAAGGGCTTATACAAGGTTATGTGTTGAGTATTTGGTAGAATTTTAGTAGGTCAAGAGCCTAGTTTAGAGTAAGAGCGAGTTCGTGAGGCGGGTACACGGGGTGCGCCCCATCCCCCATTTTTACGAACCAACGGGAACTAACTTTTTAGTGTTTCAATCCCCATGAAGACTAAGTTGAACGCATTCCCGTTCCCTAACCGGAGAATTCTCCGTGGGGAATCGAGGATCAGGGTCCTATTGCCATCTCTAATCGTAGGCAAACTCAAGGTTAAGTTAAGCTGAGGTGGCAGATCCAGCAGAAATACATAAACAATAACAAAAATAAATCACAATATGATTTCCCTAATAAAAGTCCACCATATACATTATCAAATCAAAAGACAAATAAAGACCAACGTGTCGAAAAAAATTTGAAAAACAATGAGAAACAGAAGAAAGGTGGCGTCGGATATGGCAAAGCCATCCAGCGCCACTGCGCAAGCGTACCAAACAGGCCAGGCCCAGTTGTTTTGGGCCAGCAGTTTTACTCGGCCCAATGACTAAAACAGGTGACCCGATTTTTTTTTTTTTTAGCCTTTTTTTGAAATTTTTTTCACAAATATGACTCTAGAGGTATGATTTCAAAATCTGGACCCTTAGCTCGGCGCCATCGTTGGTGACACCGAGTTTACACGTCTCGGCACCATAGATACTGGCGCCTAGGTTGGGGCCACATTGGCAGTGTGGACGCTGACATGACAGTCAGCTCGGCGCCGTGGATCTTGGCACCAAGCCTTGTCTTACGTATGGGCCCTCCCTTTCTTTATCTCTTCCTCCTCTCTACCGCTCCCGAGCCACCACCGCTGCCACATCGCCGCTGCGCTGCGCGTTGCCCGTCCGTCACTTCTGTGCCACGCTGCCATCAGCACCGCGCCTTCGCGTCTCCTCGCCCACCGCCGCGCACCGGCCGTCCAGTCGCCGTCCTTTCAGACGCCACCACCGCCCCCGGCCCTCAGCAGACCCACCACACGCCACCGCCGACCGCTCCCACCTCATCGCCTCACCCATGTCCGTCCTAGGGCCATCGATCTCGGCGTCCGCTGCGACTCCGTCGACGTCCGCGACCCCGTCCACATTCCTGCCGCGGACGTGGGGCCGAGGGCGGTGGCCTTTGGCAAGGCCCAAGGGGAGGGTGTGTTGTCCGCCTAGAAGGCCGCAGCAGCCGCCATGACCGAACAGTTTGGATAGGGTTGTTTGCCTACATCGTCGCCTACTCAAGCTTTTGGGGCGATTTATTTGAGGAACCAGTGTACCAGTTTCCTCCCGAGAGCAAGAGTGATTTCACTAAAGAGTGCCCTCTCAGAAGATACGATAAAAGAAAGGAAGATTGGCTAAAATGCATGCATGGTGAGGACTGCTTAGTGCAGATGTTCACCGAGGGGATTGACGGAGATCGTCGCTTCTTCAAATGCCCGCGAGCATGGGTAATTGCTATTACATTTCGTTTGTAAAATATGTTTCTCGAATACCCTTACAACTCGCAGGACATACTTATTGTAGTCTTCCGAGTCCGAAAAAAACTGTGGGTTCACTAGGTGGGTCGATCCTCGACCAATTTATCTGCATCAGCAGTACATCTACTACCTGCAGGACCAAATCTTCGATCTACAAAGAGAAGTTAGCAGCAGGTACAACGAAGACGAAGACGACGACAACAACAATGGTGCAAGTTCACACGAGACACTCTACAATGATCCATATTACACCTGCCCTAATCACAAGAACAAGGGGCCTCCATCGTTACCCCGCCACCACCATCAACAACAATGGGAGGCTACTGTGGAGAAGGTGCAACATAATTTGCTATGTGGCCACACTACTAGGATGACCGTATCTTATTCACATGGCACATCCATGTGTTTCTTGTGCTTGTTGTTCGCTTGAATTATCTAAGGCATGTTAGGTTTAGTTTAGGACCTATGTGTCATAGTTTGGTACATGTTCTCACATGTCATTTCATGTGTTGTGTGTGTTGAATTATATAATACCCTATTTTGTTAGATTTTATTTGTAGCACGTGATCACATTTCACTACGTCCGCAATATTAAACTGAATATTAAAACCACAAATAATAAAAACAACTACGTAATAAAAATTTCAATACTATGACATATTAAACAACACAATAATACTAAAAGTACGTGCCAACAAACAAAATAACACAGTACATGACATAAGCATGTCCATACTTAAAGTGCATTACATGACAACACAATGAAAAGTTCAACAGTAGACAACATTGTTCATGAATAAACCATAGAACTACCAATTAATGGAGACTACTGAGTGCAACGATGCCACTTTCCCTTCCTCAAGGCATTAGGATTCTCCTCCATTGCTGCTTTCGCTCGGCGTGCACGCTCAAGCTTCTTCTCCCTCTCCTCCCTGTATGCAGCAACACGTCTCCTTTCCTCCTCTTCCTTGTGCTCCTTTTTTACAGCCTCCTCTCCGCGTCTCTTCTCCATCATCTCCTCTCCCACTGCAACAGTTTTGCATCCATTCCTTGTCTGCAAGCTTGATCTTAGTGTCGATCCACTGCTCAAAAGCACAAAGCGGTGGAGGGGTATGCAACAAATGCAATTGTTACAAAACAAAAAAAATCATGCAAGATGTCATATGACATAAAATAATTATTACACAACATCAATTCATCACCATCTTATTAATGCGGCGCTGGCGAGGTGTAGGCTCAAACGCAAAATTAGAACACATCCAATACCTCTGCCTATACGTGTTCTTTTTATTGGACTTGACTACCTTGCAAGGATCGCCGCAAAAGCACATGGGCACTGGAACACCACTAGGCAGAGGCAATGGGTCGAAGGCATTTCTGGTCATCCGACCATAACTACAATTTAGCCATTTTCGTTCGAAGAACCGAAAGCAATTAACATTAAACCTTACACCTAAGGTTTCCCATTTGATCCACAACAATGAACCCATAACATAACAACGTGCGCTGAGGTTACCTTAGTTTGGTGGCTTTTCCACGTCTTGGCATCCTACGGTTGTATAATATAAATATTAAAATTACATGAAACCCTAAATAATGACGATTCTTAAGTTAAAAAATTCGACTAATATATAACAAATTGATGTGAAAAAACCCGAGAGGGAGGATCAAATCAAATTTTCTAAGGTCCAATATATCGATTCGTGTGGTAGGGCGAAGTGGAGAGATAAAAAACCCGAGAGAGAGGAGAAAGAAGATGAACAAGGATCGGACAGGAAGGTTGGGCGTTGGGTTAAAACACAAGCTCGACGCCAGGATCTTTGGCGCCAAGCTCGGCGTCAAGATCCACGGCGCCGAGCTGGCTACCATGTCAGCGTCCACGCCCGCCAACGTGGCCTCGACCTAGGCGTCAGAATCTATGGCGCCGAGACGTGTAAGCTTGGCGGCACCAACGATGGCGCCGAGCTAAGAGTCCAGATTTTGAAATCGTTATTCCAGGGGCATATTTGTGAAAAAATAAAAAAAGGGCTAAAAATAAAAAATCGGTGCAGACGACGGTATCGCGCGCGCACTCGGTGACTTCCGCTTGGGAGCGCCGCGCGCCGCCGTGGACGCTTCTCTCCTTCGCACGGCATGTCCGCGTCGGCACTCGGCACCTGAACCCGAGGGCCGGGGCTAGGGGGGTCTAGCGCTGCGGGTTACCTAGCGCGGCCGCCCCACCTGGGCACCCCGCTCTAGTGGTGGGTCGGCCCTTGCGGCCATGACAACGCGTCCCCAGCAGCCAGCTCCTCATGGCATCGCCCTCGTCCCCAGCAGCCGCACTCAAGCTGGTGCTGAAGCTGGTGCTGATCCACCTCCTGCGCGGCGCCTCCGACCTCGCGTCCGTCGCCACCACGCACGCCAAGCTCGTCAAGGCCGGCGTCGCGTCCCCCCTCGCCTCCTGCAACCATCTCCTCGCGGCCTACTGCAGCTGTGGCGCGATGGGCCGCGCTCGCGACCTGTTCGACGGAATAAGGGACCGGGACGTCGTCTCCTGGACGAAGCTCATGTCCGGGTACGCCGCCGCCGCCGCCCGGCCCCGGTACGCCATGTCCCTCCTCCGCGCCATGGGCTCCAGCGGCGTGCGGCCTAACGCGGTCACCTTCTCGACGGCCGCCTGCGCCTGCGCGCGCCTCGCGGACGCGGGGCTCGGACGGCAGGTGCACGCCCGAGCGGAGGTTGCCGGGTGCGTGCGCGACACCGTCGTCGCCACTGCGCTCCTCGACATGTACGGCAAGGCCGGCGGCGTCGAGGACGCGCGCGCGGTGTTCGACGCCATGGCCGCGCCGGCGAGGAACGCCGTGTCTTGGGGCGCCATGCTGGCCGTGTACGCGCAGAACGCGCTCGGGGACGAGGCGATCCGGCTCTTCGCCGACCTCAGGACGCGTGGCGGCGGCGTGGCGCCCAACCACTTCATGCTGGCGAGCGTCGTGAGCGCGTACGCGGGCATGGCGCGTCTGGGTATCGGCAGGTGCGTCCATGGCGCTGTCCTTCGGCTTGGGTATGGAAACAATGACGTGATTTCAGTGTCTCTGGTTGACATGTACTCCAAGTGCGGGTGCTACGAGTATTCAAGGAAGGTGTTCGACAGGATCAAACAGCCGTCGGTCGTCACTTACACCTCCATCATCCTTGCCGCAGCAAAGTACGGCCGCTGGAGATGCGCACTAACTTTGTTTGACGAGATGTTAGACCAAGGTGTGCAGCCAAATGATGTCACTCTGCTTGGTGTCATGCATGCTTGCAGCCATTCTGGTCTTGTTGACACCGGCCTTCAGCTCCTCCGCTCTATGCAGAGCAAATACGGCGTTGCTCCATGCCCCAGCCACTACACATCTGCGGTTGACATGCTCGGCCGGGCAGGGCGGCTCGAGGCGGCATTTGAGCTGGCACAGCTTGAAGGCAACGATGCCCTCTTGCTGTGGAATTCCTTGCTGTCAGCTTGCCGGACACATAAGCGCCTAGACCTAGCAACCATGGCTGGTCAAATGGGTCTATCAAGGGCAAACCTGCTGATTAAATAAACAAAACCCAGTAAAGAAATACGGGCCTGCCCTTGTTAGCTTGTACGTACTTGCTTGCCTGAAGTTCAAATTTAAATGCCAAGGAGGCTCACCCAAAGATTCCAATTTCCAATAACTTGTGTTGCCGCTGTGCCACTGCCTCCCAAGTACTAATACGTAGGGTATGTTTGTTTGGAGAAATTTGAAGAAATCTGAATAAATCTATAGGAATTTGTGAGAGCGTAAACAGTAAAATTCATCCGGGGAACAGTGAAAACCGGCTGAACTTTCAACGAGCCGAACGCCCCCTAGTCAATGTAGGGAACAACTAGAGAGCAGTAAGATGACAAACAATTGCACTAAATAATCCTGACTTCCATCAGGAAAACAAAAACCGATATCTGAATAATCAACAAATCGACCCAAAATACCATTCCAAGCACGGGGGCAAAGAAAACCAATCCTATTCACCGGACTATTTCCATGACGGGAAAAGGATGCCCACCAGGCCACCACCGCCCTTTCTTACTGTAGTAGTCCGTAAAATGGCGACAAATTTTCTTACCGCAGTCCGTAAAATGTCGACACATTCGAGTGAAAGAACACCCGCAAACTCGTTTTGTTTTCCCCGCTGCCGCTAAAAATCGTTTTCACCGGACCTTCGCGGAAAATTCCTGTCACCTCACATGCGGGCCCGGGTGGGGCCGCTAGCCGCTAGCGTTGTCTGTTGTGGTCGCTCCACACGTGACGTGCACCTTTTTCTAGGGTCTCTCATCTCGGTATAGCTGCAGTATACACGCATATTCACACAACACACGCACGTAACTCATATGATCCGTGTATAACTAAACCTATAACTACACCTAAATCTAAAGATTACGTTCTTCTTTAGATCACTGGAATTCTCTAATTTTGTAGGCGAAACAAACCCGATGGGAAAACCTGACTCGAGCTCAGCTCGAACCCACGACCGGCCGCTCCAGCACCCGGAGCACTTGCCGCTCGAGCTACGGCTCGATCCCCACGTGACGTACACTTGTCCAGCGGCCAGCCACCACCACCACACCCTTGTTCTTTTCTTTCCCTTCCTTCGCCTCCTCTTCCTCCTCCCGTCGGGTCGCCTCCTCTTCCTCCCCCTTTCCTCTCTCCCCCTCCCCTCCCCCGGATCCGCATGGCGCATCCGCAGCCCGCGCCGCTCGGCCTCCCGTAGCCGCGGCACGGCCCGTCCCACCTCCCGCTGCCCGTCCCAGGTGCGTGTCGCGCGGATCTGTGCCGCCCCCCTTCCCCTTCCCCTTCCTTCCCCGTGGATGCGTGCGTCTCGGTGCGATTCGTGCTGTCGGAGCGGGGCTTGGGCTCGCCGGAGGCGGGAATGAGGGTTGTTCAGCTGGGTAGCTGGGTAGAGGCGTTTCGGCTCGTATCGTAAGCGGAATTCGGGCGGGATTTGGTAGACAGGACGCCGCTTTAGCTGTCGATTCGGCATCGAAATTACTGGGATTCCGGTGGGTGTCGAGAGGATGCTCTTGCCCGAGCATCCTACGGGGCTAGCCTTAGCTGCATCCGCTGAATGCCGTGTATTGCGCTCGGTAATAATCGATTATGTGTGGTGTGGGTAGGCGCATGCAAATCTTGCGTTGTACGTGATTTTATACGTGGTCAATTCGATACAGGTGTGGTTGGGGGAACCGAGGCGTACCATGTGTGCTGTTTTGTGCTCCGGCGACATGCCTGGAATTAGTATTGTGGCGTTATTTTCCGCAGACTCTGCTATGGTGTTAAATTTGTATTGGATCTTCAGTGACGCCACTATAGTTTCAATCGAAATAGATGAACTAATGCGTGCACTGCTCGTTCTGGTGTGTTCTTTCCTATTCCATCGGTTCCAAATTGTAAGTCGTTCCGGCTCATAGCTTTTGTTATGTACGTAGATATACGTTATGTCTAGATACATAGTTAAAGCTACGTACCTTGAAAAGATAGAACAACTTACAATTTAGAATTGAGGGAGTAATTTATTCTCTCCTCTCTTTCTTAGAAAAATTGTCACACAACCTGCTTTGAGCTACACATCATTTCTAGCTAGGTGTGCTTATTTGATGCATATGGTGGCATGGTCACAAGTCAACTCGCAACGCACAGCAGTTAGCTGAGTGACCCATACATTATTGTTTTTTTTTTGTGGTTGCGATGATTGCTGTACTGTGTTGGCACAAAAGAAATGCAAGAGGATAGGTTCTGCCCCGTTTACATTGACTTATTGTACTAATGTATTTGAGAAATTATATGATGAGCTTCAAATATTGTACAAGGCATGTTTTCAGGGTTGTTGCTTCTCTGTTATTTTGAATTAAGCATGATTTCTCTAGTCTTACCAGAGAGAAATTACAGAGGATAACACGAGCTTTCTTTTCCATTGTTAGGCAGGCTCATCTTTCCAGTCATTGGAGGACTTTTGATGTTTCAGCGCTTGTGACCTTTAGTAGATGTCTTTCCGCAGCATTGTGCGTGATGTAAGGGATGGCTTTGGGAGCTTGTCTCGAAGAGGGTTTGAGGTGAAGCTTCTTGGCCACCGCAGAGGGAGATCTCATGGCGCTGTCCATGAGCTGCATGATCCAGCCCCGGTGATCCAGAGCAGTTGTTGGGCTAATTTGCCCCCAGAATTGCTTCGGGATGTGATTGAGAGGTTGGAGGCCAGTGAAGCCACTTGGCCTAACAGGAAGAATGTAGTCTCTTGTGCAGCTGTTTGCCGAACCTGGAGAGAGATCTGCAAAGAGATTGTTAAGAATCCAGAGTTTTCTGGAAAAATCACTTTTCCTGTGTCCTTAAAGCAGGTGACGGTGCTCTCTTTGATCCTTACAGTTTCATTTCCATTTTTGTAAATAATTTTATGTAAGTTATATATACTTTTCTATCCTTGCTGTAACTTGTATTTGGGAAGTGGCATTATTAAAACAAAGAAAACCAAGAATACATGTAAACCACTTTATCTATACATTAATTAATACTGTTTTGTTGGCCATATTCAGCCTGGGCCTCGAGATGTAACCATCCAGTGCTTCATCAAAAGGGATAAATCTACTCAAACTTACTACTTGTATCTGTGCCTTAGCACAGGTAAGCCTTTTTCAAAGCATTATTATACTTCCTTTCTACTTGTTTTAATTTCTTACGAAGCATTACAGCCATCAGTTCTGGTGTGATGTTTGTAGACATTTCAAATATTGTAAGATGAATACATGACCATATTTCTAGTTGTGTAAACCTAGACATGTAGCATTGTCCTTGCGGTATAAAGAGCCATGCTCGAATTACTGTATGTATTGAAGGTACCATTTTACCCCACTATCCTCTAGATTCATGTATGCCTAAGCCTTTGGTACCAGCATAATAGTTGTGCTGTTAGATTATTATTACTTACTAAGTTAATATACACCATTATTATTACTTACTAAGTTAATATACACCAATGAAGGGCGGGCCTGGTGCAAGCGGTAGAGTCTTACCGCCTGTGACCGGAAGGTCCCGGGTTCGAGTCGCGGTCTCCTCGCATTGCACAGGCGACGGTAAGGCTTGCCACTGACACCCTTCCCCAGCAGGAGCTCTCCGCACTGGGTACGCCCTTTTTAAGTTAATATACACCAATGTACTATACATATAAATCATTTGTGCATGCTTCATGACTGGCATTCTTGACTGCCTATCTAACAAATCTAGAGAGAGAGTCCCCTCATTTTTGCTCTTCCAGAGTATGCACTCTATTTACTTTCCAGTAGTTATGACAACTGCTATTTTAAAATAAGAATATCAGCTGTTTCTATACTGTCTGCTAAATCTGCATTTCCCACTACAATTTAACCTTAATGAAGTGCCCACCTGCAGGGATTGGGGAACTCTAGAATGCGTGGACATAGTCAATCTATCATCTTCATAGCGGTTTGGTTGCTGGAATCCAATAAATTTAGACATTTACACTAGCCCTGTTGGTATTCTATCACTCTGAGGCTAAAACATAATAGCACCTACCAATACTTAAGGACCTAGGACTGGCATTCTGCTATCAGATGTCAGCCATTTTGTCTGTTTCCGTTTCATTCCTTAATCTTTCGATTTTCCACTTGCAGGTTTGCTTGGTACTCCTTTTTTTTTTTTTGTCTCTGATGCTATTAACATAGTCTAACCTATTTTCTACAGCTGTGCTTGTTGAAAGTGGCAAGTTCCTCCTATGCGCGAAACGAACCTCCCGTCCAACTTGTACAGAATATACAATATTTATGAATTCTGAAAATTTATCTAGGTCAAGCAAAATGTACATTGGAAAGCTGAGGTACTAACTCATACACTGGCCAAGTTCTTTTAGGAACTACATAACCATTTTCTAGTATGTATGTGTCACTAATGTATCTATGGTACTGAACATCTAGGTCAAATCTCCTCGGCACAAAGTTTGCAATATATGATACCCAGCCTCCATGCAATACATCACAACCAGGGAAAACAAGCCATAGGTTCTACTCCAGGAAGGTGTCGCCAAAGGTCTCTTCCAGGACCTACAACATAGCACAGGTTTCATATGAGCTGAATGTCTTGGGTACTCGGGGCCCTAGGCGGATGAACTGTGTTATGCACTCCATCCCTGCCTCATGCCTTGAGGCTGGTGGCACTGTTCCATGCCAGCCGGACAGCATCCTTGCTCGCTCCATTGATGAGTCATTTGGCAGCATTTCCTTCTCCAAGTCATCTGTTGTGGACCATTCTATGCGTTTCAGCAGCACAAGATTCTCTGAAATCTCAATGAGCAGCCACACGATCAGAGACACGGCATTGGGAGACAATGACGAGTGCAAGGAGAGGCCATTGATTCTCCGTAACAAGGTCCCAAGGTGGCATGAGCAGCTGCAGTGCTGGTGCCTCAATTTTAGGGGCAGAGTGACAGTTGCATCTGTCAAGAACTTCCAGCTTGTTGCCACTACGCAGCCCGCCGCTGGAGCCCCAACCCCATCACAGGCTACCCCGGTGCCGCCGCCTGAGCATGAAAAGGTGATCCTGCAATTCGGGAAGGTGGCCAAGGATATGTTCACAATGGACTACCGTTATCCACTGTCAGCCTTCCAGGCCTTTGCAATCTGCTTGAGCAGCTTTGACACCAAGCTGGCCTGCGAATAAAGCCGTCATCATGGCTGAAAGATGATGATCTGTTTCATGAAGACGGCGGCCCCAAATTTTGCTGGGCCGCCATTCTGTTGTATGTTGTTGATGCCTTAACTTACCTAGAAAGCTGTGTTTAGCCATTTCCACCTGATCTACAGCTGCTGCTGTGCTGTCTGTCCTGATCGCATTGTTTTCAATAGCTTTGTTCTGTGGAGTAGCATCTTGGCCTGCCCTTAACTAGCCGGCAGATTTAAATTGTTTTTTTCATACCATGATTGTATTAACTGATATCCAAAGTTGTACTAATTATCGGGGAATTAAGTCGATGAGCTACACTATGAAGTTATGAGAGAGTCATCGAGCAGCGCCTGCGAGAAACGACGCAGATATCAACAAACAAATTTAGTTTTATGCCCGAAAGGTTAATCACAAAAGCAATTTTCTTAATAAGACATGTTTAGAGAGCAGAAGAAGGACCTCAATTTGGTTTTCATTGACTTAGAGAATGCTTATGATAAGATACCAAGAAATGTTTTGTGGTGGTCTTTGGACAAACATAAAGTCACATCAAAGCAAGTGACCTTCATCAAGGACATGTACAACAATGTTGTGACCAGTGTTCAAACAAACGATGGTAACACATTACTTTCCCGATTAAAATTGGACTTCATCCAGGGTCACCTTAAGCTTGTATCTCTTTGCCTTGGTAATGGATGAGGTTACCAGAACATACAAGGATATCCCCTTATGTTGTTCGTTGATGATGTAGTGTTAGTGGACGAAAGCCAGGCAAGAGTAAATAGAAAACTAGAGTTATGGCGGCAGACCTTTGAGTCTAAAGGTTTTAGATTAGCAGAACCAAAACCGAATACATGAGATGCGGCTTTGGCGGAGTTGTACAGGAGGAGGAGGAGATGTGAGTTTAAAATGTCAAGTAGTGCCTAAGAAGAATACCTTTCGGTATCCGGGATCGATGCTACAGAGGGATGTATATTGATGCGGACGTTAGCCATATAATCAAAGCAGGGTGGATCAAGTGGCGACGAGCTTCTGACATTCTCTGTTACAAGAGGGTACCACAAAAACTAAAAGGCAAGTTCTATAGAACGGCGATTAGACCGGCTATGTTGTATGGAGCAGAATGTTGGCCTACAAAGATTCGACATGTTCAACAAATGAGTGTTGTAGAAATACGTATGTTGCGATGGATTTGCGGTCACACAAGAATGGACCGAGTTCGGAACGATGATATACGCGATCACCTAGAGGTAGCACCAATTGAAGAAAAGCTTATCCAACATCAGTTGAGGTGGTTTGGCCATGTCCAAAGAATACCTCCAAATGCATTAGTGCATTGTGGAGTCCTAAGCCAAACTAATAATATGAGAAGAGGTAGATGAATGTTGAAATTGACATAGGAGAGGCAATAAAAAGAGATTTGAAAGCTTGTGATATACTTGGAAAGCAGCTATTGAAGTGGTTGAACCGTGATTTGGGGTTCTCTCGTGGGTTTCAACTCTAGCGTACCTTAATTTATTTAGGGACGGAAAGACTATGTTGTTGTTGATGGTTGTATTAACTGATAAGAGAATCTGACACTTTCGCTTGTGCCTAAGCCGTCGTCTGCCTGTGGGATATGCAAATGTGCATCTTGTAAAACTCTGAATTGCTCTGTTGCAAGTCATGGCAATAAAAGAATTAGCTTTCATTTGATTGCCTGCCTGTCTGGGTACGTGTTTCTTCAAGTGAAGTTGTACAGCGGCGCCGGCGTGGTGAACTGAAGACCACCGCCAGCGGCGACTCCGGCGAGGCGTATAATCTACTTTTTACTTTTCCTTGTTTAAAGTGCTTGTTTTTTTTAATTATTGGCTGCGTTCGGCTGGTTAAAAAACCAGTCAGATTTCACTGTTCCCAGCTGAAAAACACTGTTTATGTTTTTACAAATTCCTCCAGATTCATCAAGATTTCTCCAAATTCCTCCCAGCGAACAGGGCCATTATGTGATGCTTGTGTCCGAAAAGACTGGTGCTTTCCACAAAAGAAAATTCAAAATTTTAAGAGGTCAGATCCACTTTACCCCCTTAAATAAACTGTACATACACAGAAATTCTGAATTTTGACATTCAACCAGATATTTTACGTCCTGTAACGGTTAAAACCAGATCAAAATATCTGCTACCATTGTTGTAGGTTGGAAATCATAATTTGACGATAGCTTAACTACGTTAGACTCCACCCAAAACTAAAAAGAATTATGAGCAATGAACATGTATGGGAATGGGCGTACCTTACTGCCATGGCAATTTCAGACTATTACTCAAAAAATTGTAAAGTTAATAATACTTTCTTCATATGCAATGATACAAACATACAAAGGGCGGGTGAGTTGAAAAGGTAGCATTTTATCCCTATTGATCCTACAGCAGGGTGCTAGATCACACCAAACACTAGAGGAGAGTTGGATGCCTCCCGCCCTCCCCCACTGGGGTGAGTTGAAAAGGTAGATGGGGGAGCATTTTATCCCTATTGATCCTACAGCAGGATGCTAGATCACACTTGGATGTCTCCGCCACTCGGGTGAGTTGAAAAGGTAGATGGAAGAGCATTTTAAACCACTGGAGTGAGTTGAAAAGACAGATGGAGGAGCGTTTTATCCCTATTGATCCTACAGTAGGATGCTAGATCACCCCAAAAACTATAAGTTGGATAAGCTTGTTCGTTTCGGCTTATACGATCGTGGATTATAAGCTGAAATAATATTTTTCTCTCACACCAAACCAGCCAGCAGTACTTCTGTCTTATAATCCACGATCATTTCAGCCGAAACGAACAGACTGAAATTGGGCACTCTTTGATGTGTCAGAATAGAGCTCATCTTCTTGGATTATATGCTCCACCGGCTCTAATATTATTATTCGGTTATGTAATTATGTTATTGGAGAGATATTAGGATCTTTTAGGCTGCCAGCTGGTGAACTTTAGAACACCAAATGCTACTAACTCCGTTTATTAAAAAAAAATACATGAGTCGAGCGGAGCCAGCACAAACTGAGCGAACCAGCAAGCCAGCTAGAACGTCACAACTCACAAGTACTCACTCCGTCTCTATTTAAATGTTGCTATGAGGCGTGTGTTGATCAAACTTTTTAAATTTAATTATGTTTAACAACATTTATATTTTTAAATAAATTTATTATAAAAATAAATCTAATAGTCTATCTAATAATACTAATTATGTACATATATATTTAGTTCAAGTTGAATTCTTCTGAAGCTAGAACGACAGTTTGAAACGCGAGTAAAAACAACAGTCGAAATTTGAGAATGTCAGGGTGAGGCCCCGTCTGGCGTCTGTCACAGGGCCCATCTTACCTTAGGCCTCGGCCCATCAGGCCTCAAGGCGGTTTCGCCCTTCCAGTCTAGTACAGCAAGATCATTCATTTCGTGCCCTCCTCGTGCGTGGCAAAAGCGGAGAGCCGGAGAGGGTTTCTTCAAAACCCTCCAACAAAATCGTAACCGCCGGCGGAGGATCGGCGCCGCCTGCGCCGCCATGTCGCAGATCCTCCTCCGCCGCCTCTCCGCCCACTCCCACGGCTGCCGCCGCCTCAGCTCCGCGGTCTACGGCGGCGGCGGCGGGAGGCGGCGTGCCGGGGCCGGGGCCGCGCAGCCGCCGCAGGACGACGAGGCCAGCCGGGCGGTGCGGGTGTCGGTGTGGTGGGACTTCGAGAACTGCAACATCCCCAACGGCGTTAACGTCTACCGCGTCGCCCCGCGCGTGTCCGCCGCGCTCCGCGCCGCCGGCATCCGCGGGCCGCTCTCCATCACCGCCTTCGGCGACGTGCTGCAGCTCGCGCGGTCCTCACAGGAGGCGCTCGCCGCCACGGGCGTCTCCATCTCCCACGTCCCAAGCAGTTGCGTGCTCGCACCCCCCGCCTGTTTAATTCTGCTCCATTCCCGTCTTATGATTTCGGGAACGTCTTCCATAATTTCCTTGCCGAATGCGCGGTAGTGTTAAAAAAAAGGATGATTTTGGTGCCCCCGATATGACGATTAATCTATTGCTTTGGCTTTTCCTGCGTTTCTTTATTGAATGTTTTGTTGGCGGGTTGGTGACTGGATATGCATTTTCCATGGTTTGTGAAGTTATGGATGCTAAATTTGAGAGGATCTTGTATTGGGTTAATTTCGCATCTATTGGTCTGTTGATTCCTTAAGTTTTTTTGTTCACAGAGTTTGATCCCGAATTTAGTCGCCTCCTGATCATAGGGTTGTCCATCATCTTGCTGTAGGTTAACAGGTTAGAAAAAAAAAACTCAGAAAAGTTTGACTGAGGGCAATACTAAAACGACTTACATTTTGGAACGGCAGGAGTAGATACCATAAGGGACAATGTTAAGTAGCAAAAGTTGCAATTGTACCCTCAATTTTTTATTTTTACAAAAGTTGGCATCCTCTATATTCACTTGATTTTTAATTCCGTTTGGGTTCTGGTTTTTTCTTAATTTGTACTAACAGTGTTGTTTCCATGATGTAGGTGGGAAGAATAGTTCTGACCGCTCTTTTATGGCTGATCTTGTCTACTGGATTGCTCAGAATCCGCCACCAGTTCATTTCTTCCTTATATCTGGGGATAAAGATTTTGCAAACATCTTGCATCGGTTGCGAATGAGCAACTACAATGTACTGCTTGCTTGTCCTAGTAATGCTACCAGTGTACTGTGCAGTGCAGCGACAATCATGTGGCCTTGGGATGGTTTAGTAAGAGGGGAGGATTTGTCACCAAAACGTTTTAACCACCCACCGGATGGTTTACATGGATCTTGGTATGGTCACTACCGAGGAGCCCTTGATGACCCCTCCCTGGAGAAGGAATCAAAGGAATCCATCAAGGTAGCATCTGATCCAAAGCATTTTTCAGTACCATCTGATACCAAGCCTAGCCCAGTCCCTAAATATGTAACAAATGCAATTCTGGAGGTACTACGTTCATATCCTGAAGGGATGAGGATCTCAGATCTCCGAGTACAGCTTATAAAGAACAGAATTGATCTGGGTACAGATTTTTTTGGCCACATGAAATTCTCTTGCCTTCTTGAATCAATGCCAGATGTTGTTAAATTAGTATGTCCTCCAAATGGTGAAAACGAACCATATGCAATTCCTATCAACAAAAGACTTCTGCAGCCTGGTGACAGAGCCCTTGATGGCCCCTTCCTGGAGAAGGAATCAGAGGAACCCATCAAGGTACCATCTGAGTCCCAGCATTGTTCAGTACCATCTGATACCAAGCCTAGCTCAGTTCCTAAATATGTAACAAATGCAATTCTGGAGGCACTACGATCATATCCTGAAGGGATCAACCTTTCACTACTCCGGGGAGAGCTTAAGAAGAAAAAAATTTGTCTCGGTTCAGATTTTTTTGGCCACAAGAAATTCTCTTGCCTTCTCCAATCAATGCCAGATATTGTTGAATTAGTGGGTCTTCAAACTGGTGAAGGATATGCAATTGCTGTCAACAGAAGATTGCTGCAGCCTGGTGACGGATGTACTAAGACCCTTAGCTCAGCTCAATGTAATGTCAGGGAGAATAACCTAACTGGGACAGCACACACTAATAAGAAGCATACACTAAGTTCTTCTCAAAGCATTGACCAGAGCAGAAGCTTCACAGAGACACTAAGTGAACACCCACCTACATTTTCTGTCTTACCTTCCCCATCAAATGGGCTATCTGAGGACCAAAATGAGTGCCCAGTGGCTGATGTGAGTGGGTCGACAGAGTCACCAGCAAAGCACAGGGAAGTTGATGAAATGACTACCCCTGGAACTCCCTCTTCCTCAGGGGTGGAAAATGCTGCTAACAAAGATGGATTCTTTAAAAGGATCTGGACAATGTGGAATGGCCCCGAGAATGTTAAGGCTGAGGTTTCTCAAAATTGTGAAAGCACTTCTGCTGAAGTGATTGATGATTTGGAAACTCCTCTAGAAGAGTGTAATACTGATCGCTGTATAAAGCTTTTGAGGAGGATCCATAAGACCACTTCCAAAAATGACCGCTCAGATGGTACTGAGAGCATGGCAGCAGTAAGTGATAATTTATCAATTTCATTAGGTGATGATCATTCTGAAAAAATAAAGAGAGATCCATCAATTCTTGAAAACCCAGAACCATGCAGAAAACCTGTCGCTGTTTCCATGAGTAAATCTGGAAAAAAGGATGATATTTCTGAAATGAATCGGGGCCTGTTTAACTGGGCTTCAAGGTGGTGGACATTTGGAAAATCAGATGCAGATAGTAGTACAACCAACATAAATGCCGTTGATGAACTGAAGACTGACTCTATTGAAGAATTCAAATTTTCAAATGCTCCAACTTATGGAAGTGCACAGCAGGTCGTTCATGAAATATTTACAAAGCCTGACTTGTGGGCAGTTTTGGAGCAACAGTTATCAGGACCTCTTGGGTCTGAGGTTATTTTGAAAGCAAAGACAAGGTAATTTTTTCCCCTTTAAATTCTAACTCATGCCTTTTGGCTGCCTGTTGATCTAATTTTTAAGAAGAGCTGTTGTGACTTTGATCTGGAATTCAAACTTCTCCAAATTTGAAGCCAGACTCATGGTGAATGCAATACAACTTTGTTGTTTCCTTTTTTACGCTAGTGGTAACAAATAGAATCTGGTGCTTTTTTGTTAGTAATCATCAACTGATGAGAAGAAATAACTGTCAACTCTGGTGCATTTTTGTTAGTAATGGCAATGGCCCAAATTCATTCTATAGATTGCTTGGTAGAGGTTTTGTAATTTGTGGACAGGTACTCCTTCTGTCCCAAAATAAGTGCACATTTCACTTACCGAGGAGTCAAAACTTTTTAAAGTTAGACCAAATTTATACAAAAATGTACTAATATTTATGGTGTAATAAGTATCATTAGATTGATCGTAGAATATACTTTCATAATAAACTTACTTGGAGATACAAATATCGATATTATTTTTATATGTGCATATATTTTGGGATGGAGGGAGTACACTGTACACGCGAGGCACAATTATGCAATTTGTCTTTGACTGTGTTGTTTGATCGAACAAGATGCCTGAGGAGTGGAGAAGAAGTATATTGGTACCAATCTACAAGAACAAGGGAGATATCCAAAGTTGCACTAATTATTGGGGAATTAAGTTGATGAGCCACACTATGAAGTTATGGGAGAGAGTCATTGAGCAGCGCCTACGAGGAACGACACAGATATCAACAAACCAATTTGGTTTCATGCCTGGAAGGTCAACCACAGAAGCAATCTTCTTAATAAGACAGGTTACAGAGCGGTTTAGAGAGCAGAAGAAGGACCTCCACTTGATTTTCATTGACTTGGAGAAGGTTTATGACAAGATATCAAGAAATGTTATGTGGTGGTCTTTGGACAAACATAAAGTCCCATCAAAGTACGTGACTCTCATTAAGGACATGTACAACAATGTTGTGACTAGTGTTCAAACAAACGATGGTAACACATATTACTTCCCGATTAAAATTGGACTTCATCAAGGGTCAGCCTTAAGTCCGTATCTCTTTGCCTTGGTAATAGATGAGGTTACCAGGAACATACAAGGGGATATCCTTTGGTGTATGTTGTTCGCTGATGATGTAGTGTTAGTGGACGAAGGTCAGGCGGGAGTAAATAGGAAATTAGAGTTATGGCGGCAGACCCTTGAGTCTAAAGGTCTTAGATTGAGCAGAACTAAAACCGAATACATGAGATGCGACTTTGGCGGAGTTGTACAGGAGGAGGGAGATGTGAGTTTGGAAGGTCAAGTAGTGCCTAAGAAGGATATCTTTCGGTGTGATCGATCTACAGAGGGATGGAGATATTGATGTGGACGTTAGCCATAGAGTCAAAGCAGGGTGGATCAAGTGGCGACAAGCTTCTGGCATTCTCTGTGATAAGAGGGTACCACAAAAGCTAAAAGGCAAGTTCTATAGAACGGCGATTAGACCGGCTATGTTGTATGGAGCAGAATGTTGGCCTACAAAGATTCGACATGTTCAACAACTGAGTGTTGTAGAAATGCGTATGTTGCGATGGATTTGCGGTCACACAAGAATGGACCGAGTTCGGAACGATGATATACGTGATCGCCTAGAGGTAGCGCCAATCGAAGAAAAGCTTATCCAACATTGGTTGAGGTGGCTTGGCCATGTCCAAAGGAGACCTTCAGAGGCAACAGTGCATTGTGGAGTCCTAAGCCAAGCTAATAATATGAGGAGAGGTAGAGGAAGGTTGAAATTGACATGGGGAGGCAATAAAAAGATATTTGAAAGTTTGGGATATACCTAGATATCTATGTTTGAATAGGAGTACTTGGAAAGCAGCTATTGAAGTGCTTGAACTGTGACTTGGGGCTCTTGGGTTTCAACTCTAGCCTACCCCAACTTGCTTGGGACTGAAAGGCTATGTTGTTGTTGTTGTTGTTGTTGTTGTTGTGTGCTGTTTGTATTTGTAGTTACGTAGTGCTTATTACTAGGAAGATGACTTCTATATTGTTCCTCATGTCTATTTTAACCCTGTCTATTACTTATGCGGAGCATGTCATGTCCAGAACTGATATCAGAGCAAATGTCATGTCCAGAAATATCGGAGCAAACCAAATCCTCTTTTTCAGTTATCTCTTACTTTCAACAATGGTTATTTTGTTGCATATGATTATGTTTTAAAGCTGTAGAAAGAGAAGAATATAAATGAGGTCCATATACCGATTCCATTATGTGTCATTAAAACTTACTAAACTCAGCATCACCTCACATTTTGAAACTTATGATCAATCATCGCTTGCTTGAGCATTCATCATATAATAATCCTTCTATATGTTTCCTTCTGCAAGTAAATTATGAGACGATATGCAAAATTATGTTTGCCTTTTTTTAATAGAGAGCAGTTATTATGTGATCGCTTTTCTTGGCCAGGGAGGAATTGGCACATGGATTGCGGAAGTTAAATTGTTGGCCTTTGAAAGGCCTACTTGAGAAAGATCTGCATCATCTGGTACATTTGTTAATTTCGGAAAAGAAATGGATTGAAGAAACTTCTTCCAGACTTTTCCTTTTCCGTCTTACCCTCCCTCACAAGAGAAAATGTGTTCCATCGAGTTCCAGCAAATCCAATGGTCTTAGTTTTATTTTTTCAAGTGGGAAGCCACAAAAGGGCAAGTATGTTGATGATAAAAGTAGGAAAAGCAAGTCTTTCACTAGGGAGGAGATACTATCAGATTGTCACAAGTTGTTGAAGGAGCTTCTTTCTGAGTCTGAATATGGATTCAACATCGGAATTTTCAAGCGTCGCTTTACTCAGAAGTATGGATACGAGCTTGATCACCGGAAGCTTGGGTATCCGGACCTTGAATCACTGTTGCAAATTATGCCTGATGCAAGGGTAAAATTCCCAAGGGTTATGCCTTCAGAACACAGGAACGGCCAGGGTGGCAGCAAGGGAAATGGAAACCAAAGCAATGGCGATGACTTGATTTGGGAGGAGCTTGGTCCTGTATCTGCCACTACTGAAACTGCTGCTGCAGGGGTCAACAAGGAAATGTGCTACTGTCCTCCCACTCCTTCAGATGATGAATTCTCGGATAGCGACAGTATAAAGGATCAGCAGCCTAGAAGAAATGCTGAGCAGCAGAGCTCGCTTCTCCAGATCATTGGTTCTTGGAACAGTAGCAAGAGTGATGGCTCTAGCAAGAAACCTCTAGACATTGATCTGTTGGTGGACTGTTCTAGAGGCGGCCCCGACAGTATGGCCTCAGGAAAGGCTCAGACGTCTTCAAAACTATTGCATAGGCAGTACTCTTTCGTGTCAGACTCCGGGGAAGACAGTGAGCCAGATAAGCTAGTTGAGAGTGTCTTGGGCAGTCTGCAAAAAGCACGGGGCTCAAAGTTGCACAATTGAACATCTGCTGTCATATGCAAAAATGTTGGCTCGCTTCGCTTGGCCTCAAATTGAAGCGGTCAGCCTGATACCTTTTTGAAGCCACCATGGTCCTTGTTTGGTCGTCTTATAGCAAACAAAGGCTCCCTTTTTGTGGCTATAATCTCATTAGTCTGACAACATTTGCTAAGAAGCTACGGATCGCCAGGAGTTATCCAACAGAGTAACTTTCTTTTTTGCAACATAATGAAGCTTGTTTATGGCGCCATGCCGCCATTGACTGTTACCAATGGTGACAACGAGCATCAGCCAGCTGAGGCTGGTGAATCAAGTTCATCATTTACTCAGATTAGGCCTTAATAATTGGTATGTTAGCATTGGGTACCACTACCACATCTGGCTAGAGAACCGCCACCTGTTTCTGCTTTCTTTTCTGCAGGGTGTTTGTCCGCCCAATTGACACGCCCATTTTTCTTGATAAATTGGTTAACACGGTGGTTTTAGATGGGTGTCCATCACCAGTGTTGGTATTCCATGGCCATTTTTTTTTGCTACGTCAAATTTTAGTAGTTTCTGTAGTATAGTAAAATATAAAATACTACTATATGCCATGACACATGCTGGTGTCTGGAGGATTATTCTTCTGGAGTCCCAAACAAGACATTCCTGTCAGGGCACATTAGAATGCAGTTGTTCTGTTGCAATGCAATACCATGAAATCCTATCTCTGAACGTTTTTCTGCCTGTTGAGTGCCATCTAAAAAATGTTTGTTCAGTCTGATTGTCTCCGCGTTTGCCTTTGGAGCCTGTCAACTGTTATGCTACAGGAATCGATGTGAGCCAGATATAACCAGGCATCCTGACCTGGCAGCATCACATTCACAGGAACCAGGTGGATATTTATAAATTTATAAATAGGAGTATTCATTCATGTTCACTTTGAATCCTTGACCAACTTTCCATCCCCTTTAATAGTCGTGCCAGCAATAAAATATGTAAGCTAATAAGCTCACGAAAGCTGCTGGGCCTGAGATTATAATAACAACGGATATTGTAGCTTGGTAATCGGATCATCCAAGGAACTAGCCGGAACCCCGCGCGTTGCCGCGGGCAGAGCAGAGCAGACCGGAAAAAAGGCAAGTTGTATGGTGCAGTCACAATTGGGGGCACTTATTAACAGGATGGCAGCAATTTGGTTGAAATAACAGCAGCGATATCGAATTGATATCTGTAGTAGCTAGAGATATGTTCCTGAATTGTAAGTGGTGCTAATCAGATGAAATGTCAACAATCTAACATAACAGTGAACTTCTTCAGCTAGCTTGGGTTGCTGTTTTGAGTTTATATATTGCAGGCAAAACAAAGAGTCCAACTCCACTAAAACGTGGTAGAAAACCTAATGGTTTCAGGTGGAAACCAAGCAAAGAGGTGTATGTATAGTCGAGTTGCTAGGCAAAATTGTGCATGATTCGAGTTCCCTTCGACGCAGAAGTGTATGCGTATTCCGGCTGCAAGGTCGCAGCCAATAATTTTACAGCTATGGTTCTCGAAGGCACTTGTGATGTTGCAGATGTCATGATGGTTTGCTGAGGCAAAAGAACAACGAATAAAGTGACCACATATTCATAGCAAAAATGCCATGTTTATTTAAATTGAGGAACAAAAAATATAATGGCAGCAGGCATATAAATAAGCATATACTCAAAATGTGTCACAATTGTACAGAAATGTAAGCGATTCAATCTGTCTTTGAAAGGTAAAGTTTAAGTGAAACAAATCTCTTAAGTTCTAAGAACTGTAGAGCTTCACAGGCAAACTTATCTAAATAAATTAGCATGGCTAGAAGAACAACGATATGTGATGAACTACATATCTGTAGCTCCTACATGTCTGCATACAGAGTGGATGGATGAACCCATAGAAAGGGGGAAAAGGAGTCAGTCTAAAAAATGTTGAAAACATCTCTGAATGATTTCGAGCAATAATTTGCAGAGCAGGTTTTATTTTTCTCTTATCCCAACATTTTCAAGGTTATATATTAATAGTAAGTACTCCCTGCATAACAAACTGTAGGACTGTTTTCCTTCATAATACTAACACTCTGGATTCGAAGGAGCACCTTTCAAAACGAAAATATGTTCGTGCAATGAAGATTGTAGAAGTAAACTGAATGTCATAACACATTCTGTCTTAGTTTCTGAGTTGACGCTCTCCATCGCATGTGAGAAAATAGAGTTTGGCTCTGAATGGAAATCAGTGTAACACCCTAAAAATTTCTCTTTTTGAAATAGATGAAAATTGAATTAATTATACAATTTTGTGCTCATAAAAACATAGGAAAATAATATTTTTCCTTATCACTCGATGCTTGCGCGCACCATTGTTGTATATCGGAGGGGCTTGTAATCTTGCAAGATCACACCAACCGCGTTTGTGGTGTGGTCACCACCGTGTACCGGAGAGAAACAAGGCCCGCGACGTTTCGGCGGGAAGCTTGATAGTGAAGACGGTGAGGAGCGGTCCGGAAGAGGCTTGCCGGAAGGCACACCGGAGACCCACTTGCGTGTGGAGAAGGATCGGGGCTATCCACGGAGTTACCCGACCGGGAGCTTGGCCCTTGCGAGGGATTCCTTGCGAGGGGCTCCAACGAGGACTAGGGGAAGCTTGCGCACTTCTCGATACCTCGGTAAAAATATCAGAGTCATCGATGGGAGTTTGCATATCTCTACTTTACTCTTTAGCTTCTGCATTTACATTGTTTGCATAACTCTTTTTTGCGGTAGAGATAACAACACTCTAACAAAACCGTAGTAGTACATTTAGATAGTTTATCTTTTGCACAGGTTTTGCTAAGAATAGTAAAAGATGCCATAGTTTAGAGTTAGAGTTTTAAGTTGCCTAATTCACCCTCCCTCTTAGGCGTCACGGTCCCGTTTCACTTTTCTCCTCCGCGGCCCAGTTTCCTCTCCCTCGGCCCAGCACACTGCCTGGCCCAGAAGCCGCATCCCCCACCTCTCTTCCACGTGTCTCGCTGACCGAAGGGCCCCACGTGTCAGGCGCCGTCGTCTTCCTCACGTGTCCGTGCCGGACTCCGCCGCCACCACTCCTCCTCCCTTTGCCATGCTTCCCAAGATGCTCCCAACCATAAATACCGGGCGCCCCGCCCCGTGCCGCTTCCATCCCTAGCCTCGGAGCCGCAGCCAAGTCGCCAAATCGTCGCGCCACCGTGGAACCCTAGCGCCGCCGTCCGCCGTCGCCCCGCCGAGCCACGCATCGCCTCTGTCCGCTCCGCGCCTCGGTAAGTCGCTTAGACGAATTCGTCATTTTCTTCTCCATCTCCTCGTGCTTTTCCAGTGCGAAACCGTAGCCCATAGGCCTAGATCCAACTACGCCGGTGAGCTCGCTCGTCCCGGCCATGGCGCCACCGCGCTCAGTGCCGCTCAGCGCCGCTCTGGCGATCCCGCCCCTCCCGATCTATTCTGCACCGTCCGTCGTCGATCCGACAGCTTAGATTTAAAGATACCGATTCGGCTGGCAACATTGCATAACAACCCCTGTCTTTTTTTGGAATTCAAACCCGCCGTCCCTACGTTTTTTTTTTAAAGAGACCCTCAGTGTTGAATAATCAACCCACGGTCCAAAGCGTATTCCTGAGAATACGTTTTCCTATTCTGAAAGCATAGTTTCTTTCTAGTAGATTCAAAATACGCTTTCATTTATTTACAATTTTGCCACTAATCTTGTTTTAGCCATAAAATCTTTGTTTTAACTCCGATTTAATCCGTTCAAGTTACGTTAGATTTGTAATTGCGTAATCTACATGTTTATACTACTGTTAAATATATTTTCAACTTTTGAAATTTGATGTTAGATTTAATCTATTATTTTATTAAAGGAAATCTTGTTAAATTCATAACTTCTTCGTTATAGCTCCGATTAGAGTGCTTTTCACGTCTGTGTGTTTGTAGCGAGATGTAGATTCATTTTACAAACTTTTCATCTTGATTTTATATTTGGTGTATTGTTCTAATTTAGTCCTATTGTTTGCTTCATGTATGATTGCATGGATGTTTGTGTGGTGCTTTATGAACATGTCCAGTCGATGAGCTATATGTTGTGAATCAAGAAGCAGATCTTTGAAGATTTGGACTAGAAGAAGATCAGAGTTTTAAGGCAAGTATAGCATGGGATCTTCCTTGTTGACCTATACACCTTTAATCATTTAATTCATACTGCATGTGTCTACCTTAACTACCACTAAGGATTTTCTAGTACTTTGTTACCTTGTACCTTGATTCCTATAGGTTATTGCATTGGGTAGTATGATGCTAGTGCTCAACTGAGCCATGATCTTATAACTTGACTAATGGTATATGCAATAAACACTAAAAGATGCTTTTTAGCAACATGGTATCAGGGGCTAGAGCATTGGGCTGTTTTTATGGTGCTCTAGATTCCTCTCCCTAAGAACTTATCTGTAAGTGAACATCCATGACTTACAGTACAGCTATGAGGGCTATATGGCTCTGACTTTAGCTCAATATGATGACCTTTTCTATCTTGTTAGTGGTTACCTTTATGGCGCAAGAGGGGCTCCAACAGGTATGATCTCGGCCTGCCAAGAGGGTGCACTTTGGTTTCTTGGTATTTTGTTAGTCACTTCTTGGAGGGGGGTTCATGCTTATTGATGGGGAAACCTTAGCGGCCCTAGCTTGTTAGACAAACCTTTGAAAGGCTTCATAGTGAACTCTGCCGACCTTCCTTGGTTGTGGGTTAAGAGGCTCGCGACCTTGGGTGAAAGGTGTAAATCACGACTCACAGTGAAAGTGTACAACCTCTGTAGAGTGTAAAACTGTTATAACAGCTATGCTCACGGTCATGAGCGGCCTTGGACCCTTACGGAATAGATGATCATTAATGGTTAATGATGATGAACACTGATGATAAAGATGCTCACTAATGACCACTGTTTATGCTATTCATTATTCATGTTTACATGATCATGTGTTTATATGGGCTTG